GCCCGGTTAGTGGGGAGGAGGAAGACCGAGGACGATGTTCGTGGTTGAAGACGGGAGGGGAGGGGGATGAGGGGGGTGATGCGAGGAACCAGAGAGGCCATACATATAGCATCTCGGTCTCCTCGTTTCTAGGAAAGAGAGTTTGTTTTGTCTCTTCAACAGTTTCAGTCACTCATCTGTCCACTCTTTACTTTCAGTCCTTCTCTACAGCTCGACGCCGGCGTCATTTCACTCACTTCTCACCTTTGTGTGCACTTCTTCTAACGCCCGGAAATCACCTTCTTTTTCAAAAACAACCAAACCAAATCACCGTCAAGATGAAGTCTGTCGCTGCTCTCGCCCTTACCGCCTCCATGGCCAACATGGTTGCCGGCCACGCCATCTTCCAGCAACTCTGGGTCAACGGTGTTGACCAGGAGTCCAGCTGCGTTCGCATGCCCGTAAGTCGACTTACACAGTCACTCTATCGCAAAAGTGTCATCAAAAGACTAATGTGGCATGATAGGCCTCCAACTCCCCCGTCCAGGACCCCACGTCCAACGACATGCGCTGCAACGCCAACTCCGCTGCCGCCACCACCACCTGCGGCGTCAAGGCCGGTGACACCATCACCGTCGAGATGCACCAGCACAACACCCGTGCCTGCACCGAGGAGGCTATCGGAGGTGCCCACCACGGTCCCGTCATGGTCTACCTGAGCTCCGTCGCCGACGCTGCCACCGCCGATGGCTCCAGCTCTTTCTTCAAGATCTTCGAGTCCGGCTACTTCGCCAACAATAACACCTGGGGCAACGACCTGATCAACGAGGGCTGCGGCAAGCAGAACGTTGTCATTCCCTCCGACATTGCCCCTGGTGACTACCTTCTCCGTGCCGAGACCGTCGCTCTCCACGCTGCCGGCTCTGAGAACGGTGCTCAGTACTACATGTCATGCTACCAAATCTCCGTTACTGGCAGTGGCACTGCTAAGCCCGAGGGTGTCGTCTTCCCCGGTGCTTACAAGGCCACCGACCCTGGTCTGTTGATCAACATCTACAACACCATCACCTCGTAAGTACACCTATCTTCAATCACTATCAGCGTGAAAGCATAAGAAAGCAAGCAACTAACCATTTGTAAAGCTACGTCATCCCTGGTCCTGCCCTCTACGAGGGTGGTGGTTCTTCCGGCTCTGCCCCGGCCTCCTCCGCTCCCGCTGCTTCCGCCCCGGCCGCCACCAGCGCCGCTGCCGCTTCTTCTTCGGCTCCCGCTGCTGCCGCCCCCACTACCCTCGTCACTAGCGCCGCTCCCGCCTCGGCTACCCCCACGGCTGCCGCGCCTGCCACCACCTCTTCCGCCGCCGCTGCCTCTACCTCTGCTGCTGCCGCCCCTGCGCCCAGCAGCCCCTCCGGCTGCAAGCGTCGCCGTTCCCACAAGGCCCGCCGCTCTGCTAAGTACTAGAGTGTACTAGGTCGGAACCTGGATGCCGAGTGAGATCGATAGACAGTTGTTTATAGAGGAGACGTTGTGTCCTTCCGGTAAATATTAGAAGTTCTTTGTACATAGTATACCGCGTAATTCTGCGATTTACGCCCTTTTCGAGTGGCACAATACAACAAGACTTTTCCTTGTTCAAAACATTCTCAATCCCTCAATGATCGCATGCTTCGAGTGCCATTGTACAATTGGAGGCGTGTCAAAATGCCAATGACTGTTGCAACTATACCTACCCAGTACACAGGTGGGCGGGTAGGCACTTAACGCGGTTAGAATATAAGTATTTTGGTTGATCAATTTTAGTATGCGCCTATTCTACAATTGCCAAAACAGAATATTGTGGAGACGGGCAAGTGGCTGGTCAACACTATGGCTCAAACAAAGTTGTCACAATTCAAAGAGGAAAGAGAAGATCATAGTAATGGTCTGAGTGTTCTTTCATATGCGTACGTACTTATGCTAATATACAAAAACAAGACTCGCTCGCAAACTCCAACAAACTAAGCAAATAAAATCAAAGCCGCTCCAAGTTGCCATGCAAATGTCTTTCAGCGCTGATCTCCAGACCAGAGCAAGACCGATGTGAAGAGAAGTATGTAATCGCCACCATGGGATGGCAAGAACTAGAGGATTTTACGTGCTGTAAACGGCAACGTACTTGACCTCCATGCGAGACTCCTTGCCGCCAACAGTCTGCGCATTGGGAGTCTTGGAACCAGCCTTGGCGTCGGGGAACTCGCCACCGATAGCAACATTGAGCAGGATCATCTTGGGCGTCTGAGCAAGGTTTTTCCAGACAGCCTCGTCGCCAATCTCCTGGCCCGTGATGGTCTTGGTCACCTTGTCGTTGAGGTACCACACAAGCTTCTCGGTGGCGAAGCCGCCGCCGGCAGACCGATCAACCTCGCAAGCAATCTTTACAAACTCTCCGCGGGGGAACTCGGCGCTGGAGCTGAGGCCGGTCTTTTCATTGCATGGGCCGCCGTTGATAACACCGCAGTGAGCCGTCTGGAACACCGTGCCGACGCCATTGGAGACTTCGAGCATGTCGATCTCGCCGACGCTGGGCCACGAGGTAACGTCTGTGCGGAAGGCAGAACCCATGGACCAGAAGGCGGGCCAGATACCGGACTGTGTTGCCGGGTCCGAAGCCGGAACCATGATGCTGGCCTCCATGCGAAGCTTGCCCTTAGCCGGGCAAGTGAAGTCTTGCGCGGCGTTGGTCTCGATACGGGACGAGGTCCAGGCCTCGCCGGTCTTGATGGGCGTGATGGTCAACGTGCCGCTCTCCGAGATGGCAATGTTCTTGGTGTCCTTGGTGTAAGTCTGGATCTCCTGCGTGCCCCAGTTGGTGGCGCCACCAGGGTACCCGGTACCGACATCAAACGTCCACTTTGACGAATCGGGAAGAGCGCCAGCCGTCTGTGTCGAGAAGTCGTCCTGGAAAACGATCTTTGCGTAGCCGGCGGGGAGGGTCGGGCCGCCGCCAGTGCTGTTGCCCCCCTTGCCCTGGGTCGTGCTGGCGGCGGGCTTGAGGGCGTTGTTAATCTGGGTCGCGACGCCGGACTCTTGAGGGAAAGATGGGACGGCTCCGGATGGGGCGAAGCCTGGCTTGCTGCCTTCCGGGAAGCCGCCGCCAGGGTAACCTCCTTTGGGAGGGAAAGGCGCCGGGGATGACCAGCCCGCGCTGAAGAGGAGAGGAAGAAGGGAAAGAACCTGCTTAGTCGTCATGATGAAAAGCTTCGTCGAGAAGGACTGAGATAAGTAAGAAGAGAAGGAATAAGAAAGAAGATGGAGGTAAGATAGAGAAAAGAATGGCGCTTGCGCTTGATGTCTTGCAGATCGGATGATGATCTAGAATATTTCCTTTCGATGAGATGAGATCTCAATCTTCCTTATATCTTCCATTGACTCATAGCAGGAAGCCATTATGACCTTCGCTTAGAAGGTTCGTCCTGTACAGATCACAATCTCTATTCCAAGTCTAAGTGACTGAATGCTACTACGTGTGGATTAGGACAAGGAAGACACTATTTTCAGCATCCAATTGCACCGAAGTCATGAGGCTTCCCCATCTTAGCAAACGGGTGTTAAGATAAGGTCGCTTACCAAGTAGATGGCTTTTTGGGGGCTATCATCCCATCATTCGCTGCCGCTACTGGCGGCCGGGTGGGGCCCGGAGGGGCTTTGAGTCTTGACATGAACTATTCCGGGTCACCGGCGCGCCGGCCGGCATCAAAAAAGAGCCTTGACAGCGCACGTTTTCTTAGCGACTCCTGATCCGGGCTTCATCTCGGTCCAATTAGGGGCCTCGTTTTCGCAAGAGCTTGGTATTTGGCTGATGATTAACAGTATGTTGTTTATAACCAATGACTCGGCACTATCGTTACTCTCCCGCTGTCGTTCATGCGTTACTGACTGGACCCCGGATCGGCCAGGCACAATCTGGAACTTAATGTCGGTGCTAAGACGATGGATCTCCACCCAACCCACCATCAATGTCAAACAGTCCATTCTATTTCCAACCGACGAACCGGCCCCTAGACGTTTGAATTTACCTCTCACAGGCACAACGCCAAAAATGGGTGTTCCTGGCATCGCCGGTCGAGACTGAGTAATCCGCGCGCGCCAAGGTGATACTCACGGGGATTGAATCGGACGCAACGCTGCGCCTAACTTGCCGTGACAGACTGACAGCTTATTCTACACGCGACAACCTGGTAAAGAGGCCTAGATTCTGTGGTTCGTCGTCGGTGATTTTACCTGTTTCTCATATTCTCCGACAAAGTTCGTCAAGGATGGAAGGTTCGGCTGCAGCTTTCTTGGCCCTACGACTGCTGTACACAATATACTCCAGACTTGGACAGCTTGCTGACCTCATGCGTACCAAGCCATTTGTTAACTAAGATGTTTGTTGTGTCTATTTTGACTATTGCGTGATACAGTGAAAGCACTAATTATTTTAGAACGCACGTGGACTCAATTAGGTGATTGAATAGAGAAGCTTGTTCGGCCGACCGTATTTCGAGTCGAACTTTGTAAATTGCCTCTACTTTCCCCATACCTAAAATAAGTAAGTAGATAGCCAATCTCCATCAATTTTCTCAATGTTCTATTTGGCCTCCATCGATGCCAAACCTAGTTTACTTACCTTTTGCCTACTCTGTAGTGATTTTTGGTTCTTAGTATTAATCGGCAGTTCGATTTCTGGTCGTCAGTCTTGCGTGGGAGGCATGGAGGCATATTGAAGTGAATGTCATATCCCCAGCCATAGATTGTCCGGGCCGGAGAATTGCTATGGGAAGTGTCTCACCAGTTCATCATTCGAGTCAACATGATCTACAGATAACCTCCAGGCATACCAAACATCAAAGGCGTCGAGGCAGTAAGACCAGAAAGATCACCACCCCTAAGACAGCAGCGAGTTTGGATAGAACCCCGAAGTTTTTGGATTGGCCTGCGTATATGTCGAGATTGTTTTCCACCTCGAACATTGCGTGCTCATCCTCTGTATTAATTTCGACTTAGAGCGTGACCAGGCGTCGAGACAAATACTGAATGCGGCTTAAGGGTTTCGTAACTTCAATAATGATATCTTTTTCTTGATTTTCTCTTAACAACGGACTGGAGAAGCTCAGATTACCTTTGTTGATTAACCGCCTCCGTAAAGTGTTCAGCTGCCTCCATAATTTATGTGTCTCGCCGAAGAAGAAGAAAACGGCTGCGGCTATGAATCGGCGTATACTATTTTCATAGCTCTGACCGTCACTCTGTAGGGCTGCACGAACTTCAACAGTGTTGGAGATGAAAAAGGCTAGCGGCGATGCGGATGCTACACTATCTTCTTGTGGTGGCTCATTTATAGGCAGGTAGGTGTGCCGACCCTGCAGGTAGAAAAGGCTACCTATTTGAGCACGTCTTGTAAGATGCAGCCGGCGCGCCAAGATTATCGATCGGGTGGCTTGCTGAGCTTCTGCTATCTGCTTACCATGAGTGGCCGATTGAAACTGCGTGGATATGCAGAGACCCTATCTGGGCCAAGCCACGGCACAAGCCATCAAATTGGCCATAGGAGTTGGTTGCACCAAGCGGCTCGTACGACACCTTTTCCGCTAAGTACTGCCACTCGAGCTGATGTCTCACTTACCTAAGTGTTTTTATCTGGGGGCTGTGAGCTGTATTGAGGTATACTATTTCTGGCTCCTGGGAGGCGTTCGTGAAAATTTCACAAGTAGGTGCATGCCATCTTAAGAAAACTAGATGTGTGGCCATTTTACATCGTTGTTCTCTCTTTTGCTATCGCTTGAATCCGTGATATAAAGGGTTTCACATCTCTCAGGATTATGGCCTCCGATGAATCATATCACCACCGCATCACTTTCGATAAGTCTTGGCTTGCTTACCACTTGCTGACCTTGTTCACCGGTTCGACATTAGCCAATGGCATCCGCAAGTCCTCAGGCTGGTGACTCATAACCAAAGTCTCTCTAAACAAGTCATACCGACGCAAACAATGCAACACAGACATAACGTCAAAAAACATTCGCAGTAAGGAACCCTTGAAGAATCTCTCGTTGTATAAATCCACTGGCAAGTTGCCCCAACGTTATAGCGGAGAAAAGTGCCCGACATAACCTGGTAGCTGTTGACAAGGCGCTAGTGCAAAGTAGTTGGGACGAATTGGAATTGCGGCCGTTCATTCTTGCCAACAGAGCTCTTTTCGGAGCATTCCTTATAAACTGTGGCCTTCTGGCCGGCCTCAACGTCTTCAGCCAACAAGGAACCTTCAACGTCAGCAAAACGTCTTACTACATCTTACAAGCTTCTCTTATTATGATCGGAACCTGTATGGTGGTCCACCTCGGATCTATGCTTCTTAGTCTTTACCAAATGACACCGTTCATTCTTTGTGATCTGACCTCCAAGGACATCAAAAGTTTCATTCACGCGAGATTTGCCGAGGATCCAGGATTTCAGCGCCTCGTGAAACGAGAGCATAAATATGCCGGCCAATTAGAGGACAATATCACAGCGAAAGCCGACAGAGTCTTTCTGTGGGTCAGCTTGGTGGTCAAATCTCTTTCGACTGGAATGGGGAACGACGACAGAGTTTTGGATATGCAAAGAAGACTCGATCAACTCCCACCAGAGCTGGAAGATCTCTACACTACGATGCTCAATTCTCTGCAGGGATTCTACTTCAATCGCGCAGCGGAGTACTTCCGGCTCATGGAAGCCTGGGAGACATCGCCGCCCGCGGTGTTGATCTATTTGATTGACGAAATGGAAACACCACGAGACGTCAAAGACGGACAGGATCAGGGTTACGTATTCTCACATGATGAAGTGCTTTAAATGTTCCAAACCACTCGTCGTAGAATCAACAGTAATTTTCGAGGGCTTCTTGAGGTAACATCATCCTCGATCGCCAGGTCAAGTGTGGAAAGGCTCGGATCGATCCAATATACTCACAAGACCGTCCGAGATTATATTCGGAGACCAGAAGTTCAAAAGAAAATCCGGGATGCTACGAAAGATCTCGATTGCCAGATCAAGATTTGTTCTGCATATTTAGCAGCCTTCAAGATCGTTCTCGTTGAAGACGGGCATGACACCAGCCATAACGCAACACAACTCGACGAGGAATCAGAGAGGCTGGAGGCCCTCCGGGCCTTCGCTTCATCTTGCCTGAAAGCAGCATCAGACGTAAAGCCAGAGAACAAGCGGACTATGATTGAGCTACTCGACGCTCTATGCGATGCATCTATTCAGCTGATGGGCAACGGTGAATCTGAACGCGCAGAGTTATACCGTTCGTTGTCCTCCTTTACTAGAGGTCATGATCTTATAACGGAAGCCGAAATCTATTATTCTCAACATCTACTTCTTTTGTACTCACCCGAAAATTTCCAGGAATGAAAATATTATTGTGGATCTAGCTTCCTGGCACTTGCGGTACGATTCGGAGTGGTGGAGTATGTCAAGGAGAAGACAACTTATGGATGCCTCGAACCCTGCGTTCCGGAAGATTCCACCAAGAAATTCAGGACGACGATGAAATCTCAACTCAAGATCGCATTCCACAGGAGGAGCGAATCCGCTAATCCACCAGTCAAATACCCTCATTTGTACTGGCCACTCCTCATGGATGCGCTATTCGCAGCTCCGATCGATGCAATCAAGGTGGAATTGGTCAGTTTTTGTCTAGAAAGTGGTGCCGATCCCAACTTTCAGGTGACGAGCAACGGCTTCACCGTCTGGTCAGCTTGGTTTATTTACTTAGCCGTGCTAAGCCCAGGACGTAACACTGTCGGTCACGAGGAATATATTGCACGTTTGAGGCCGTATTGGCCTGTGACGGAAAAGCTCATCCGTCACGGAGCGGATACGTCACTGCGTTCTTTGAGAAGGAGCACTGGAAATTTCCCTGTTAATGAAGGAAGATATTTACACGGAGTTCTGTCCGTACCAGAGGTATGGTTTGCCAACTAAACCTTGGTCACAGTATATAAGAATGCCTTGAGCTGATAAGCCTGCAAATAGAATTTCAACACAGACAATTGAGGCAGCGGTTCGACGACGCAGCTACGCAGGATGAGGCGCGGCTGACAGGGACGGAAATTATACTTCAGGATTGCGGATTTGAAAGTGTGTTATGAGCGTTTGCAAGGCAATCCAGGAGGTATGTCAGACTGCGCTCAATGTTTTTCAGGGGAAGTTAGCCGCGTTGGCCCGTTTGGCCATCTCCCCACATATTCTCAACGAGGCTTTATTTTCGTGTCGTAAACCTTCTTCGCAAAGAGCGACTCAATCATTTTTACGCGATGTTCTCTTCTATGAGATCTGCTTCTATTCTGAACCTTCTGATAGTCTTGCAATGAGCACGATACGACCCGCACTGCCAATTTGGAATGCCCTGGGCTGACGCTCGACGTTAGTGGCATAGACTCCCGTACTCCCAATTCACTAATTGTTGATTTGGATAAATAAAATTTCATATCCATATTCCGAAGGCTCATCCGTACCTTGAGAACACGGAGTCATGTCGTTCGTTGTGTTGGGAAGACCGATGGATACCTTGGCCACGGAGCCAGGAACATACTAACCCGACAAACAACCCCACCTCATCCGAAAGCGCCCCATATCAAACCTCCGTAACCCGATCCCCACCAGCAACGACCACGGCCCGGTCCGAAAAATCAGTCGGGACCCACCCGCATCCGTAAACCAGGGAATCAATCTCATCCCAACGATCTCCTCCATCACGATTCCATCTGACATCTGGTCGCCCCCCCTAACCTACCCGGGTTCAATCAACCACTCGTTCCCATAAATAGCATCTTCTCCACTCTCCCAAAATCGAATGATATCCCGTCATTCAGAAAAGCCACCGCCCGGCGCCCGGCGCATGGCGTCCCGGCAATGCACCTGCCCGTCCCCGTTACCACATCATGCCCGCATATCCCCTCTCTTCCCCCTTCCCTCTAGGGCTCGGACTCAGCCTCGTCTTCATCGGTCATTATCACACCCGACATCTGTCACATATTCTCATCTGCCTACTTACCCGTAACTGTACCCGAACCCTCAGCTCAGCTCCGAACCTCCTCTCCCTCCCACAACCAAGGCCAAGATCCCCCATCCCCGTCCGCCACGCCCCGTCCCGAAGTTGAAACCTGAGTAGTCACATTATGTCATTCCTCCGGAAGAATAGTCGAACCGGAAAAGTAGGAGAAACATCCATCCATCCCGCTCGCTTCTCCCCCTCCGAACCCTCCGCACGGCGAGCTGCTTGCATTCCCCCTCCTCACCAGAACCCATCTCATCCAAACGATATTTCCATTCTTTCCCATCATGTTTCATCAGCCGTAGAAAACGCCATTAACGCCCCCCTTCTCGCCTGCACCTACCCTCCCGGCACTCCAACCCCACCTCTACAAGTCTCAAAAGGCTTGATATACGTACTCAGTAGCCAGATACCCCAATCGATCACACAAACGCCAGAGAAAATTCCCACCCGACCAACTGGAACCCGCTGACTACCACGAACCTCAAACTGCGCCACCACACCTATCATCATCGGCAGCTTCAACCCCCTGCTCCATGAGGGCACCGAGGAGATAAGAACTCTTAACAAGAATCGGCCCGAGGAGAACAGAGAGCAAAAGTGCAAAAAGAGGCAATCCGCATCACAATCTGCAAAGAGCCGCCTTCACCATGGTACCCCTCATACCTCCATAACCCATCTCGCCTCCAAGGCCTGACATCCATCTCTCCATCTCCAACACATCCAACCTCTCACTCTCCTTCCAGCGAAAGTCACGGCGACCTGCATCTGAAACACGTGGCGTCAAACGCCGCGTATAGCATACCCTCTCCCTCACTCTTCCTCTCACACATCCCCATACCCATAAGTCTAGCCCAGCCGAGACTGGATCTGGTCCCCCAGAGCCGCTTCGACAACCCTGGCGCTTCCGCTGCAAGCATGGGAGCAGGCAGCATGATAATCTATTCTTCCCTTCCTGCAATGCACGACGCGCACCTGTCAGCGGCAGATGCGAAAATCAAAACCCCCCAAAACGCACGCCAAAAGCTGATGGCTGCCGAGGAAGACACTGAATGTCGACGTCCACTTCCGGGTAGGTACTTTTTGCCTACTATGTACCTTACGTAGTGCTGGCGCGGGGGTCGGCAAAAGCTAGCAACCTTCCCCCCCCTCCCCCCGGGGCGATGCTCCGCTTGCCGCGGGGTCGACACCCCGGCGATCGACAGCGTTACATCCGTCGCGATCGTGACGCGGTGAGCGAGGGTACGAAGCGAGGGGCCGGGTTGACATGTTAACCATCCTAGGTAAGGTAGCTCACCAAGAAGGGGGGGGATGTCGTGGTTCCCCAAGTATGCTCAGCGGCTGATGAAATGCGATGAGCTGACCATCCAGTCTACCGGGCACACCATACTGGACTTCGTACGAGGCGTACATCACAAGATGGTGTGAATCAAGACACGAACACGAGTGCGAGAGCTTTGGACGAATGGTAGGTATTCAAGTAGGTTTATTTTCGGCCACCATGTGATGGCAGTCTATTCATCACCCAACACCAATCACTCACAGCTCTAGGCTGGAGGCTTGTAACTACGACCCAAGATAGTCGCAGCAGGACTCTCCAATGTTGTAGAGTCCAATTTCAAAGAAACAAGTCTGTACAAGACGGCTGGGGCTCGGTCCTACCGTAGCGCCGAGCTTTGCGCCTGTGAAACGCCCAAGTAAATCCAATGAACAGGCTGCCACTTTATCCCGTGGGCCTAGGTCTGCAACGCCGTTGCGGTTTTCCCCCAAGTCTAGTGTTTTTCCCCATCTTTTTGAACATTCCCTCCAGTGGCTCCATATGTTCCTCCCGTTGGAAAGAGAATATCTACAAGCCTTGCAGCGCCGGCTACAGCGCTTGCTATTTTAAACAATAAGAGTACTAAATAATAAACATAAACAATGAGATTTTGGTGGTTGAAACCAGAAAATAAAAGACGTGGTAAAAGGAAAGGTTGGTTCGTAAGATGTCGTAAGACGTGGCCTGGTCGAGGCGTGGTGGTAAAAGGAGCGACGATAGTCGGGTATCTTGTGTAAAGAATAAGCTCGAAAAAAAGATAGTGGTCTCCGATGTGAGGGGCACGCTATCATCATCCTTGTTTCGGGGTCGTTAATCGTAACAGTAGATTTTTGAGCCGCCAACTGGGTGTTGGAAGTGACGGTTTAGATCTTGTATGAGGGGCCATGTTTGACCAAAGGCAGCATCATCTGCGAATGCCAACCTTTTCAGCCAGGTTGCGCCAGAAACGGCCACCCTTGCGCTCCTCGCTCCTGGAGCGAATCATCTTCGTGTCGCGCTCCATAGGCCCGACGATGTCTTCATCGCCACGCTCAGGGAACTTGCCCTCAGCGTCAAGGAGTCGAGGGATTGCGGTGGGGAGACCATCTTCGAGGCGGCGCCATTGCATATTGGCAAAGTCATCGTCTTGGGTAGGTCTGCGCAGTATGGCAGAGCCGCCACTGCTGGCGCGAACACGACCACGACTGCGGCTGCGGGAGCTTCCCGGGCGTTGATTGCTCGACTTGTTGGCAGCAACGATGCGTTCCATCGTCTGCTCGTGGAAGCTTCGCCAGTTCTTCTCAGTCTCGGCCCACTTCGCCTCAGTGAGCGCGTAAATCTTGGAAGTCTCGCTATAGTTCTCGCCGGTCCGCACAAGGTGCTTGGTGTAGCTGACGCGTGCGGCTTCCCAGTCGGCTCGCAAGAGACGGAGAGTCTCCATGTCAGCCTCCACGGGTTGGTAAGGTTGCGGGGTGATGGTGAAGTTGGCGTGTCCAAGGCGATCTGACCACTCATCGTGGTCCTGCACAATGGAAGGGAATCCAATGGGTAGCTCTTGGCTCGATTGTACGTGGCGGAAGGAAGACACTGACGGCTTTGCGCTTAGCGAGGGCGTAGACATCTGAGGAAGCGGCTGCGGGGAAGAAATTTCCATGGAGAGGGTTGACGGATCCACGCTGGGAGATTGCAGAGGACTGGGATGGGGGACTTCTGTTGGCGGGCTGTTCATCAAGAGGGGAGGAAGCAGAGGTGTTGCGGCAAGGGCTCGATCGCGCTCGATGCTTTCTCTCTCGTTGTTGGCCTTTTCAATGTCGATGGGAGCCGGAGAATCCACGCTTTCACTACTTTCCCAGAAGGATGTGGCGGGAGTTGGGATCGGGTACTCGTTGAGCCTGTCGAGTAGCTGCCGTGTAGGGCCAGACAAGGAGGAAGATCGACTCGATGATGCCGCACGAGAAACAGGGTGCGCGTTCTCAAACGTCAACTCGGTGGTAGGCGAAGCAGTCAAGTGTGCCCGCTTTGTAGACTTCCATCGCGAGAGCTGTGGGAACCGCGATCCCAGACGTGTGGCCAAGCCGGAGAAGGGGGATTCGGTTCCACTCCTCTTTCTATCCAATGTGGATGTAAAATCGCCATCACTCGCGAATCCGAGGTCATAGTCGATATCAAAGTCGGCAGGGTACACACTGTTGAGCGTCTCGGAGCTTTCATGGTGGATGCAAGGCTCGTCACCTAATGAGTCATATTAGTACTAGGCGAGTGACTAGAAGCAAAAGCTGACTTACACAAGCAGTTGTACAAGTCAAATGGCTCAGCGAGAATGGTGCTTTCGTCAAGTTCGTCCCGCTCCAATGGCTCCTCTTGCACATCAGGAAGTGGCCTTTTAGAGGACTTTGTGTGGATAGTTGAAGTTGGTGACGATGGGCTTTCAACGACGCAGGTGGGCGGGAGGTCAAGCGATGAAGATGAGCTGGAGTAGCGTAGATGCCCTCGTGTTGAGAAGGTAGGTGTGACGGGTGATGCAACGTCGGAGCATGAGGAGTTGGTCGTATAGTAGACGTACTGGCGGTCCATTTCGCCTTCTGGGAACTCGGGCTGTTGCTCTTCGAATTTGCGACGTTCTTCAACAAGCTGAGGTAGGAGCAGTGGCTTCAACTTGGGAGACATGATGTCTGCCCGAAGAATTTGGAGTGTTTCGCAAGGTTGAAGACGATACTGTATGGGCACTATTGCGTCAGATTACGAAGTTCGATGTTCGAAGCTCTGTGTTGTTTGGTTATATCTTGGTCGGGGCGGTGGGGTAGCCAGGCGTTGGGTTGAACAGAGAGATACTGCTGCGGCTGCGGTGATGATGAGGAGATGAAGCAAATGTGTTGTGCCAGGTATTCTTATCCGATGTCATTCCAGGTACACTTCCGTTTAGTATCCGATTTCAAGTCGTGTAAGGCTGCCGTTGTTGTCGCGAAGTGGGCGTGTTGGGGGTTTGGTCTGGTGTAAGTACTCTTTGGGGCGTACTTAGT